AGGTAAAGCACTTATTGTGCACATTATAAAGCCAGGCACTAAAATGACTCATTGAAAAGCTAAATCTATGCAACAATCATTTAATTATTATTATTATTATTATTATTGGTGTGCACATGATTATCCTTCAGACTGCAAGATGGAAATTGTACTGTACATTGCACCAACCAATATGTCATGTGTTCCTGTTTGCTTTGACTTACTATATATATATATATATATATATATATATATATATATATATGTATATGTTTGTGATATTAGTTGGATGAAACATATAAAACAAACAACAACTAAAAAAAGAGACTAATTCAACTGGGGCGTTTTTTTGTATTTTCGCCTAAATTTGACATACCCAAATTCAAATGTTTACCCGACACACATACAATGGAGGAAATAAAAAATGGTGTCATTGTATAGAAAACCCTTTGAACTACAAAATATGATTGTAATTCTTCATAAATAACATTATATATGTTTTAAATATTACAATAAACACTAAAAAAACATAGGCGCTTTTTGATTTTTTTTTCAGATTTTCTGTTATTCAGGTTCTATTTGCAAGATGTGCCAGAAAAAAGAATCTTTCAAATAACAGCTTCTAAACAGGAGTTATTGAATTATAACCGAAGGGAGTAAAATTGTCCCTTTTTTGCGTCTAAAAGTGTCCTTGTGAGTTTCCTTTGCAAAAACAAGTTTTATAAAGCACATTACCCCCAGATTCCTATTTCACTATGTGCCATAGCACTTTTCTTGATTATTGACTGAATTATGTTTCATTTTTATGTTTGTCTACGTAGTAATATACAAAATGGGATAAGCAAATTAGACCAAATATCACATTTTGTGTTTTATACAATCAGTTTTTTTTCTTTCAGGAGACACAAGACTCTATAAATTGTAAATTCCATGTGGTTTATAACAATCTAAAACAGAATTCACATCCTCCAGCTTTATATCATTCCAGTTATATGCATAATTTTAGTCCCCTGTCCCCTGCATCACCTCTGCATCAGCATCCTGCCTGCCTCCTGGAGATGAGACGCGAGCTGCGCCGCTAGCTGCTATCTGCTCTTCAGAATGTGAAACAAAGAAATATTTATAAATTACTGAAGCAGTAGTTAAAAAGCAGTAGGAAAAAAAATACTATGGAAGTCAATGGTGCTCATCAACTGTTCGGATCCCAACATTTTTCAAAATATCTTCTTTTGTGTTCAACAGAAGAAAGAAACTCATACAGGTTTGGAACAAGTGGGGGGTGAGTAAATGGTGACAGAATTTTCATTCTGAAAGTGAACTACTCTAAGACATATTTTTGACACGTGTTTTTCTGCACTAATTTTGTTCCATGATATCACTGGAGGTTTTAAACCAATCACTAAGCTTAAGGCGAGGCTATAATTGAAGCAGTGAGGTCAAAACACAAAGGAGGACAAGTGGACTTGGAAATTAATCCACTCATTGTGCCATCCTTACGTAACTGATCAGATCTTTGCCTTTAAGTGAAGTGAGGTAAAGGCATGTAAACCAAATTACAGGCTGGGCGAAACATTTTGAGCAACAGTTTTTTCACAAGTTTTTTTTTATTTTTTATTCAGTATCATGTCCTGCTGTTCCTTTTCTGAATGAGGAATATGCAGAAATAAACTGCCGAAGGCAGTTTTATCTTCAATTTGTAGTGTAGACTGTGTGCTGTCAGAATGAGAGTCCAAATAGCTGATAAAAACATCACAATAATCTAGTGAAAAGCTATGTGTTTGTAAGAAACAAATCCCTCAAGGCATTTTAACTTTAAACTGTCTTTTCTGGCCAAAATACCAGTCCATAATCCATAATAATGCTTCCTCTAATGAAAAAGTCCATCAGCTGTTGTCCCCCAACATCAAAATCCACCAACATATTTGTTTAGAACTGTTTTCACTTGTAAATGTTGCTTGATCTATGCATATTCCTCTCCTGATTTAGACGAGAACACTTTTTCACTGGAGAAAGCAATATTATGGATAGCCAGAAGCAACAGTTTGAAGTTAAAAACATCTTGATGGATTTGTTTCGTAAAAAAAAAAGCCACTTTTCACTTCACAAGATGTTAATTGATGGACTGCAGTCGTGTGGATTACTTGTGGATTATTGTGATGTTTTTATTAGCAGTTTGGACTCTCATTTTGATGGCACCCATTCACTGCAGAGGATCCATAAGTGATGTAATGCTAATAAGTGATATAATGCAAAATTTCTCCAAATCTGTTCCAATGAAGAAACAAAATCATCTACATCTTGGATGGCCAGAGGGTGAATACATTTTAAGTAGGCTAAATGTTCGTTTTTGGGTGAACTATTCCTTTAAAATGTTTCAAACAAAGCATCGTTCATTTCAGACCTGTGGGATTTTTATACATTCTAGAATATTAGAGAATCAATAGTTCTGATTTATTTAAATAAGTGGTAAAAAGGGAAGTGGAGTTGTTGTCCTCTGCTCAAAATAATTTCTCAGCAAAAAGGATTTCCATCAGTCATGTGGAAACAGTTAATGTGTGCTGCTGTTAATAGAAGTCTGAAAAAAGACAGACCTCAAAATCACACATATCATGGGAACAGAATAAATAAACACACAATTGCTGTTCAAATAACAGTTCTTCTTCTCCTCTCCTCAGATCTGAGGAGTGCCAGCTGTGTCTGAAAACACCAGCCAAGAAAGCAGATTGAAGAGGTCCCCAAAAGAAAAAACTGCATGGCCATTTTCTCTCATGTGTTATGATGCAGTCTAAGTTAATATAAATCTTGGAACTTATTTCTTGATTATGTTGTAATGAATGCAAGATGGGATATTTGTTTCCATCATATCTGTAAGAGCTGTCATGCTGTTAGCTGAGATTCCTCTCTGCCTCATTGACCATATGGGAGGCTTCAAGCTTTAGTGGGAGATGTCACCATAACTTCAGGGCGCCCTGCCTTCAGCAGTGTCCCATTAAATAAACCAACTGTCCATCTGTGTCCAAAAAGCAAGTTAGGGCCTCAGGATCACCAGTTTTGCTTATCACTGACAACCTTTTTATGCACATCATTTTCAGATTAAGGTCTAAATTCTAGTCTTTATGTGAATTTGTGAAAATGATCTTACATTACATAACCAGCATATTCTGAATAAATGAAGACATACATATTCTCGCTATTGTCATTCGTTATGCAATTTTTTTCATTTTGACCTGAATTTTGTCATATTCTATTATAGTTGAATGTACACTTCAACAGACGTGTACAAAAGATTTTTTTTTAATAAAGTGCTTTTATTCAGCAGAGTACGCTTTAAATTGATCAAAAGTAACAGTAAAGACATTGTTACAAAAGATTTGTGTTTCAAATAAAAGATGTTCTTTTGAACTTTCTATTCAAAGAATCCTGAAAAAGCACAACCGTATTAACATTGATAATAATAAGAAATGTTTCTTGAGCAGCAAATCAGCATTAGAATGATTTCTGAAGGATCATGTGACACTGAGTAATGGCTGCTGAAAATGCAGCTTTGATATCACAGGAATAAATAAAATGTTAAAATATATTCAAATAGAAAACTGTAATAATATTTCACAATATTGCTGTATTTTTATTGTATTTTTTGATTAAATAAAGGCAACCTAAGCAACTTCTTTCAAAAACATTACAAAACAATTACGACCCTAAACTTTTGATAAATTATTATTATAAATTATTTCTAAATGTGAATTGAGTTGCTGCCAAATATTACAAAATGCAATATTAAATGACAAGAGCAAGCATTTCCAGAAAATAACAGTTCATTATTCAAACCTTGCAAGGTTTCAAACAGTTTTGGTTACCAGCACAGATCTTTTTGATTATGGCTACACCGCACCCAACAACCCTGCAGTTAAACAACTTTAATGATAAACAATTTGTTTTAATCCATTTATTTTAAATAATATCCTAACATACATTTTTCAATTTCAACTGAAGGCACAAACGGAGATGACTAAATGGAGATCGCA